TGAAAAATTTTAAAAATATGGATTAAAGATTGGATTTGGTTTTGGGTTTTAAAAAACCAAATTATACAAATGAAGTATATATCCTGCTTGTAATTCAGGGCAAAAAATGTAAGCACAACTTAAGTCAACCCCTATAAAAGAAAAAAATTAAAAAAATTAAAAAACAGTTCCTAAAACCCTAAATTTTTATCCGCCCCCTCTTTCTCTTCTAGTCTTCTCTGATTTTCTTTTTCTTTCTTCTTGTCTTTCCTGCTCCTATGTCCTTGCAAGTCTATTTTTTATACTAAATCTCAGTTCAAATTTATTTTATTTTGCTAAATTTTAATTTTTTTAATTTTCATTTTCTAAGTAATGGTAAGGATCGTTGGATTCTAAGTCCTTGCTAGAAATGTATACAAGAAGGCATAACAATGCTGCAAGTTTTGAATATTCATGGGATTTTTTGTGCCATTTGTATATTAAGATAAATTTTAATAAGAATTGTAGTAAACTTTTTTATCAATATTTGGATCTTGTGAGTTTATATTTCGTAATTAAAATTATATAAAGTTTCTATACAAGTTTTTTTAGAAAAAATCAGACTCACAAAAATTAAGCTAAAATATTTCGGTGTATTGATTAGATTCGGTTTTGATGATGAAAATTTGGTTCGGATTGGATCGGAACGCTCCTTATTTGGTTTGGATTTGGATTGAAATACCGAAAACCGAATTATTTCGATTTGGATTCGGTTTGGGTAAAAATCCAAACCTTACATCGAACTTTGACCGATGCGGAGAGGGTTGCTTATCTTTGACTGATTTAACCTTCTCATAGTGAGAAGGCTTCTTTGCCGACTGGCCCTTTTAGTACCAACCGTCCCCTTGGAAATCAAGTCCTTCATTTCACCCTTGAAACTTGACATGAATTTCATGAACTCGTCTCGGGTGATGTGGGTAGGGTGACTTGCCGCTTAGGGAAGGCCGGATAACTTTCTCTGGCTTGCCTGGTTATCGTCTCCTTCCCTATTATCTTTGAGTTTTGAGGGATTCATCTTTAGGCGTATATACTTTAACCTCCGAATCTTCGTCCTCTATATCATGGTCCGACTTGACCTCACCCGTAGGAGCCTGCTTCTCATTAGGAGGTGGTACAGACTCTTGAGAAACCATCTTAGATGTACTATCTCCACAGACGACGCCAAATGTTTCGGGGTTTTCAATATCACTCAAAAGAGTTATGTCACCAAGACTAGATTCCCGCTAGTTGTATCCCCAAAACAATGGAAGCTCCTATTGGTAGGAGTTCCCCCAGCGACAATCAAGTTAAAATTGGCGGAAGAATAGTAAAAAGTGCGAAAAGTAAAAGTAGATCTTCTTAGATTCCAAGATCAGGTACTTTCTTTGTTTTTGAGAGAATCAAATGTGTGTAATAAATGAACTTGTACCCTAAAATGTGGGAAATCTCCCTATTTATAGGGTAATTGGTAAATGTGCCCTTATCCTGGTCATTCTGACCTAAATTTAATGGGTTGTGCCGTTTTACCACTTTCTCATAAATTTAGTCCTGAAGGTTATCTTTTTTTCCTGTTGATGGGGGAGTGCTCATGTAAGTTGCAGAGTGACCCTTTTTGGACCTCTTTTGGGATGACACGTGTCCCGCTATGATTAGGCCTCATAGCATGGGTATTTTTACACAAAACAATAACCATGATTACTGTCATAACCACAGTTCATGCCCAGAAGCACAACTGTCACTGCCATTAAGTTTAATTTAAAAGACCCGAGATTCATTATTGGAAATGAGTTTTTTTAAGTGATTAGCCATGTGATTAATCCGGATTTTATAAAATGGTGGTTACACAAACGAGGCGAGGTTTATATTGTCGTCGTGGAAGGAGATAATGGTTGTGAGATCGCAAATGGACTTCGCTAGAGTTGATAAAGATGGATACGCTATATAATTTGGAGGTAAGATGTGGTGAATCGGTGATAGCTGCTATAATTTGGGATTGGGGGAGGAAGCATGGTGAAGATATAGTGGGGAGAGGTGTAGGATGATGCAGTGGAGAGAGGGTGTAAAGAGTTCTACGTAGAAAATTGTACATCCTAGTAAGCAATAATTGGATTGAGATTATGGACCAAAATAATTAGGGTTGTACGTTTTTATGATTTGGACACGAAATGAATGAATTTAAGGACACAAAATATATAATTTTGGGTTTAAAGGTACAAAATGATTTATTTCGGATTAAAACATTTTAGGTAAGATTGGGAATATGGTTAAAGTTTAAGGGAACTTGACGAGACTTTTCAACTCTTTACCGAACTCGTTAATCAAAATATGAAAGGTATTCATCACTAGTTTGGTTTTTGGGGAAACAGAATCAGGTGTCTATAATAGCGTAGAGGCTACAAAAATAAAATGTGTACTTTGGGAAAGTCAATACTATAATGATACCATTGAGAATAACACTAATAATAATAAAATTAAAATAATTATAACTATATTGCTGATGAACGTCATCAGAGCGTTAGATAAACATTTAAAATATTTTCTAAAATGACATTTAATTTGGGAATGTATGTCAAAATCATATATCGATCGGTATAATTAATGTTCATTTTAATTTGATACTTTACTTTTATTAGCTTATCAACACTCCAAAATCATTTGTTAGATTTTACCTAATAATAATAATTAGTGCATAAAAATTCAGATCATATTAGTCAAGCTAAACATAGCTTTATAGCTTTGATAGGTTGAGAATTTCTACTAGTATTAACAATTTAACCTATAAAAAAAGGGTATCCAAGGGTTGTACTCATGTAATGTAAGGATTTAGTAAACACACCATGAATTATGTTCTGCGATCAATCCTCAAGAGTGAGTCTGGGTGCATAGCACCTATGGGCTTCTAGAAAAAGCTGATTCAATTTTTGCTTCTAGAAAAAGCTGGCTCTCTAGTGGTACATTATAATGTACTATTATGCATGTATAATATACCACTAAAGTATAATTTGTCTGAATAGTATGTTTTGTGGACTATTACGAGTGTAGTGGTACTTTTTACCATCATATAAGTTTCAACTTCTGAAAAAAATGACTCTCTAATGATACATTACAATGTACCATTATGCATGTATAATGTACCACTAAAATATAAATTATATGAACAGTAATTTTTTAATTGCAAAATTTTCATTCTATATGCATTAAAAACTCAGGAAAAGTCCTTTGTATCACTTCCCTACATTAATTTATTGTATTGGCAAGTGGCAACTAACCCGTTCCATTGACTTTTGGACTATTTGTAACGTGAGTTCATGGCAAAATGAATCTATTTTACCATTTTTTTTATTTCTGAGCATCTAGGTGGAGTTTAGCTCAAGTTAAACTGAATGGGATTTCCCAACAATTATTCAAATTAAAATGACCCCGCCTTACACAACGTAATAGACCAAGACAAATTTACAGTAATAAAAGAAGAAGAAATAAATATAAAGAAAAAAGAAAAAGGAACTTCATTCTAGGAACTCTTACTAAACAAGGCAAAAATGTAAAGCAAATTGCCAAATTAGCCCTATACTAGCTCCGTTTTTAAATACTTGCTTCATTTCTCTATGTGCGGAATTTTAAAAGAAATTAAACAAAATAATAAAATATGAAAATAATGAGCTAAGTGAAAGAATAAAATAATTATTTATGGTGAGTAAACTAGATGAGAGACATTAATTAAATATCGGTTTTGTTATTCATAGCCCTAAGGGATGCATAAAAACTAGCAAATTCCTCCAATTAATGGTATATATCTTATTCCAATGGAATCTATGACAAACTTAATATTAATAATTAGACCATCATTCAATTCTCATTAAATTGTATTTATTAAAATATTATTTTCTACCCACTTATTAGTTATACACATTATTTTAGGAAATAAAATACGTTCATTGTACTGCAATTCTGTAAATCATCTTCAAAGCAATTTTTTTTTATAAAGGGAAAAATAAAAAAAAGAGCACACGATTATTTTAACGACTTTGATTTCACTGGAATTGGTCTAAGTATGGCAGTCATAATATTACAAATTCGTCCTTGAACAATTTCTTGTACAGCAATATCAATCTAAAATTTTGAAAAGTAAAAAGATTAACTACATGATTTAAGAAATTTTACAATTAAAATAGTAAAATATATTTAAAAAAGTTAGTAGACAATATCAGCAAGTCAATTAGGATTTGTATCCTTCTTTTTTACTCAAAATACGTAAGAGTGGGTTATAATGTTAGGGTAGAATCACAAGTATTAAAACAACTAGCATGATCGTAATTTACTTCATTTAAAAAAAAATAAACAATTCATCAAACCAGTATACATTACTTCATTAACAGGAAAAAAAGAAGAAAAAAAAAGACAATTTATCAAACAGGTTGTGGGCAATAAGATTATCACAATGCAAAATATTTTCACAATATTGATGGTGATGAATTGATGATCAATTATTCATTAAAACAAAATATTCATCTCATAAAAGACAAAAAGACATACCTTTTAGAATAAAAAATAATTCATAAGACTTTTGCTAACCTTTTTTTTCTCCCACTAGTATAGATAGAAAAGATGTAAAATGACGAAGAGGAAATGTTGTAAGATGATTTGATGGAGACTTCAGTTTTTTTTTTTTTTCATATATTTTTATGGTATAAGTAAGATGAAAAATCTAATTATAATTTAGGCGTCAAGCATTAGTTTCATGGGAATTAACATATTTGTGTGGGTACGTGCTATTTATTGACTTTTTGGTTTTTTATTATTCCCCATAAATATTAAACATGTACACTATTATTTTTATTGAAAATATAAGAGAATCTAGACATGTATTAATGGTTATACATAGCCCTTAGGGCTATGTTTAACTTTTGCCATTAAATATTTTAAAAACTTTCTAATTAAGAAAATAGAACACGTATTTAAAAACGGCTAGAAATAAAATGTAGAACAAGTATTTAAAAATGAAGGGAGTAATAAGAGACCTTTTCCTGATCATTATAATAATTAATTCAACTCCCACCAAATCCACAGCTTTCACTAACATTAATATACTCTGGCCATTACTAAGTACATCTATTAGTTTTTTTGTTCCACATTAAAGGGTAAAATGGGCACAATTGTGGGAGAAAATCCCAAAAAAATATTTTAAAAAAACAAAAGAATAAACATATAAAAGAGAGGAAAAAAAAAGTCACAAGAAGGTGGAGTTTCATTTTTATGCAGTATTTGGTAGATGACGTAAACCCACCAATACCACCCACTAATTAATCTAATCTTCTTGGAGAAGTTGCCCCGTTGACAAAACATTAACATAATATCATACGAAGTATGCAATTTCAAGATCTTCATTATCATCATCATAATAAATAATAATTTATATTATCACTGTCTTCTTTGTTTTGGACGGTTTTGATCCGATCAACAATGGGCCCCACCGATTTTTGTCCAAGATCATAGCAAATATTCACCATTGATGTTGTAGGCCCTTATCTCTTTCTTTTTCTCTCTCTTGTTTAGTTTGTGAATTGACAATGAGAAGGACATAGTCGTATGAAAACAGGCCTAAGAGGATTCTAATACAAGCGCGGCCGCAACGGTGGCGTCGGTGACAGACTGTGGGTGGCTATGATCGCCTTCGTATGTCACGATCAACATTGACGAGTCATCTAACGCGCGCTCCACATGTTTACGCGCTGGACATCCTCGCACGCTACTACATTTGTAATAACCCCTGATTTTCAAAATAGAGAAGTAATTTTAGTTGAATTGAAACTCTATCTTCTATCGTAAATTAAGACGAATTAAATTACGAAACTAACCTTGGATGAGGTGATCCTTTGATTGGTTTCTGACCGTATTTTCTCCATGAATAGTCATCTGGAGGAATATCAGCCATTTTCACACTGATTGCTGGCACTCTAACAACCCTCTTCATTCTTGACTTCCTGATTAAAGTCAACCCCAATCAGCAAAAATTGCAATTTTATAAACTGTAACTTTTTTTTCCCCAATTTTATAATTTTGACTTCACTTTCCTTTTATTGAATGTAAAACATGAATTACAAACCATTTAATTTAATATACAATATAATACAGAGAGTAATTAGATAACATATTAACATATGCCCAGATTATTATTTAGTTAATTTAATCAATTAAAAGATAGAAAATCATCTAGAAATAAAATCTATCAAACAACCTACAGAGTACTGTTTTAATAAGAAATTACAGTGAAAAATTAATAGATTTAACAAAAATTAAAGTCAAACAATTCAACGGAAGATATTTTTTTTTTTAAATAAGAAATACAGTAAATATTGAAAGATCTAACAAAAAAAAAGTCAAACAATTTAACGGATCATTAATTATTTTCGAAGGAACGCATAAAAAAGATGATTAAATTATTGCAACAAAATTAAATTAAAAAAGTACCTTCGTTTGGGGCAATGGCAACGGCCAGAAGATCCGCCACATTTGGAATCATCCATGGAATTACACTTCCGCTTCAAAGAGGATGAAGAAATAGAGGGTTTACCGACGGATGAGACCTGGGATAAATTGGTGATTTGAAACCCAGAAGACATCGACGGTTGTACACTATCGGTATCACCAGTTAACGACGAAATGTACGAATTAGTCGCTGAAATTGGAGGTGACGATGAGAAATTAATGGTAGTTGATGAATCTTTGCGCTCAATTGGTTTTGGTAGACCAAGGGGTTGGGGTTGACTATGGTGAGGGTGGTTATTATGCGGAAGAGGTGGTAATCTTTGGATCTGAGATGATGAATATACCCTTGTAAAAGCAGAGCCGTGCGACGGCTTCAGCTGCTGCTGCGACGGCAGCGGCGGCGGTAGCGGCTGTGCTTGTTGTGCAGTTTGGTGATGAAGAGGGCCGCGACGAAAGCGGGCATGGCCGGTGCGAGAGCGGTCGAGGAGGGAGATAACTTTCTTGAACTTATTAACAGCAAGATCAGCAACAACCGTGTAATCTGAATCATCTTGATTTTGATTCTGATCCGATGTGGTGGAATCATCTTGCCTTTGCTGGTGCTGCTGTTGTTGATGCTCGTGTTGAAGATAGTGGTGATTTTGCGAGAGTAATTTTATGAGCTTCTCAACACTCTGAAGACCCGCCGCGGCCGCTTCTCGGACTGCATTTTCTTCCATTCTAGCAGCGAAATTATCGCTACTACTTTTGTAAGTTCCTATTATCATCTTCACAGGCCAGTTGAAGAATTGCTACAAAGAGAAGAAAAAAGAAAAATAATAATAAAGGAAGAAAGAAGAGGAGGAGGGTCAAAATGTTTAGATGATCGGCTTCATAGGGAAGGATGGCATCGGATGACTCAACTGATATTGTCGTTTCAATTTATTTGATAGTCAAACAAATTAACAAATAGTTATTCAACGCGTGTCAAAGGGAGTTTGTTCAGATTCTCAAAGAGTCTTACGTATAAAGAAATGTCCGGTACATTTGACCACGCACTTCTCCTAACATTTTTTTATTAATATAGTTTTATTGTTTGTTATTGGGACCCACGCAATGAAAGTAAAAAACGAAAATCGAGGGAAGACCGGGTTTGGAAGGGAGAAAAAAGGAAAAATAAAATAAAATAAAATAAATTAAATGGAGTGTATGATTAAAGAAAATGTGAGAGAGAGTCAAAAGGTGAAAAGAGAGCCGTTGGATTAAAGGGTCGGTAAAATCGGAGGGATAGTCGGGGACAGAGAGGTAAGGGTTGACCTCTTAACAGCTTTTAATGTGAGAATAGTCCAAATTATAATTGAGGATGGTGGTGTTGGGGCCCACTTCTGTTTTGGCCTTTTTTAAAACTGGTAAACGGAAGCTCCGGTTGAGCTTTTATTCTTATCAATGCTGTGTTTTTTTCTTTTTTTTCTCAAAACTCTTCCTAAATTAGCTGAACCAGGATTTCAAACCTTGCTGTTGTTGAAATGCAACGACTTTTTGAGCAATCTACCTATAGTTTAATTCATTTCTTTTAGTGGCAAATCATAAAAAATAACTTCAATTAAAAATTGGGAGTCACTTTTTAAAAGATAAACAATCACAAATTTGGTGTACTAACAATTTGTCAACAATCAAATTATAAAGTATTGACTCTAATCTAATTTCAAAGAGAGAATTAAAAAAGTAAAGACAATAGTGTTAAATTTTATGGTAGAGGTGGATGTACCAATCAACTATATGTTTTTTTTTGAATACTCCGTATATCTTATGTTTAGGGTAAAATTATCCCATCACGTGGACCAATTCTAAGGTGACACGTGGTCTAATGATGACACGTGGCAGCATAGAAGCACCTGAATAAGAGATAACTAGTGTGTATCACGGGCGATGTCTCGGGTTGCTTACTTGTGTACTTCTTGCTTTAATTTAACAATTATGTTGGACTATTTGTGTAGTTAGTGTGTGTAGTGGTTCGGGCATTGCCTTGGATGTCACTTTTTTTTTTAAATCATATTGATGAGTGTCATTTATGGCACTCATAGGGTAGTCTTTTAAGTTGTTTTTACCTTATTTTCATACCTTTCTTTTATTATTTTGGTCTTTTCTTCTTTAGTGTATCTATTTCTTTCTTTCTTCGTGTTTTACTTTTCTTTATGTGGTTTTCTTCGTGTTTCCCTTTTATATGGCTCTTTTTCTCTTCTATTTTCTCTCTTTTTGTTTACTTTTGTAGGTGCTTAAGAAGTTGGCTTTGCAAAGGGATCAAGAAGAGCAAAAAGGGCTAAGCAAAGAAGAAGCAAGCTCCTTGGAGAGGGCACGGAGAGGGCGTACAACATTTGCCAAATGTCGCGGGCGCGGGTCTTGAAGGCCGCGGGCGCGGATAAAGTGCAAGAAATTGAAGATTTTTGGTAGGAACTCTCCGCGCCCTGGCCGCGGGCGCGGAGGTTTTGGAGAGACCTCTCCTATTGGAGAGACCGCGGGCCCCTGATTTCTCTTGAAGCGAGGCATTAGCCGCACCCTTAGCCGCGGGCGCGGAAGTCATCTCTGCGGGCGCGGGTCTTGTCCAGATTGCCCGCGGAGTTAGTTATGGGTTCCGTACCCATTTCTCCGCGCCCGCGGGATGTTTTTGGAAAGGGAACAGCCGATCAGATTTTCTTTTTTGTCTATAAATACTCTTGTAATTCTTTTTCAAGGCTAACTTTTAGATAATCTTTCATTTGCTTAGTTTTTAGAGAGAGAAACTAGAGAGAAGTTAGAGAGAAAGTTGAGATAGAAATTCTTGGATTTTGATTTGTATTACAACATTGCTTCAATCAAGTTTGGAATTATTCTTCAGATCAATGAAAGTTTGTGAGATTTCTTTCCTTTGAATTTAATTTTATTGCAATTTCCTTTAATTTTGAATGTTTGATTTGGATTTTGATTTAGGTTTGGGAATTTGTTGATTGATTGTTTTTTCCTTTTGATTAAGCTTGAAATGAATATGTTTGTGATTGAATTTGTTTTGTCTTTCAATTTCACCATGATTAGTGAGTAGATTAGTTGTTAGGGAGAAGGGGAAGCATGCTTGATTGATGATTTTTGCTAGTTGATGATCATTGATTGATTGAATTGTTGCAATTGAATTGGTTGACATAGTTGTGCATGTGATTAATTACACTAGGAGTTGTTTTGGGTGTTTTTGTCCCTTGGGAGAGTTACGTCACGAAGTCTAATCTGGCTAAGCTGTACCTGCAAAATAACGGAGACTCCGGGTGGGTGGAGCTCCGCCTCCGACGATCAAGTTAGTAACTTGAAAGGGAATAAAGAGAACGGAAATTTAGGTGGGTATTTGCTCGGATTCCAAGCTCAGGTCTTTCTCTGATGTGAGAGAATGTAGGTGTAATAAATGATTGAATGTGTCCCCAAAATGGAGAAATATCTCCCTATTTATAGGGTCGTTGGAGAATGTGCCCCCATCTAGGTCACTTGACCTAGATTTTAGTGGGTTGCGCCATTTTACGGCGCTTCTTTGGATTTGGGCCCATGAAGGCCGCCATTTCAGAGGCATATCTGAGGGCGCCAAGTGTCAAGAGGAGGTTGAGCCACATGGGCCATCCTGAGCTCGACACGTGGCTTCCTCTCATTGGTCCACGTGTCTAGGGTATATATACCCTAAACATTTTCCCCTCACAGGTCGCACGTGCATATCACGTGAGGCCTGTGACACGTGTCCACCTTTCATAGGTGAACAGTAACGGGTAAAATTTTTGAATTTCAAATTAAAAATTTCCCCCCGCTTTCACTTTCTATAAATAGAAAGTCACCCCCCTTTTTCTCACCTTACATTCACATTTGACTTTTTAGAGAGAGAAAAAGAGAGATTCTCTGCTTCCGTCCGTGTCACAGCAAGTTCAAGTTTCCGAGTGCTAGCAGTTCAACACCCGGTTTACCGGCTGTAGCGGTTTTCAGATTTTTCAGAGTAAAAGCGAGGTAACCGCCTGTACCATTTTAGCTTTCCTCCCTTTCAATTTGTATACCATTTTTTCTCCGCCTATATACCTAGTTTATTAGAGAATATAAATGTGCTCTCAATCCACCCACTCGACACTGCCTAGGACACTCAACCGATCCCCCGGAACGGCTGAGTCTAGAACAGGGGGTGCCTCTTCTGGACTGTCGGAACCAATATGCTCATCTCTGAATTCCTCCCTCTCTGTGTCTGTGCAAGACACAATGGCCAGAACGAAACAAACGGCCAGACGGTCTAAGAGCCGGCGCACTATGAGAGTGCCAGCCGATGAGGTTTTCCCAGACGGGGAACAGAGGGATTGGGAGGAGAGCGGATCTGACGAAGAGGCTCCTTCTACTTCCGGGAGCGCCGGGGTACGAGAGGTAGACGGCGAGGGAGCTGCCTCCTCTAATGAAGCCGGCGATGCCGAGGCCGGCCAAGGGTCAAGGGCCGAATCTTCCGGCTCTGACCAAGACAATTTTGCGGCTGACTATCAGCAGCCGCCTAAGGTCGCCGACAACCCCAACCCTAAAAGGACCCGGATGCTGCCGGGTAACATCGCCCTCCTCAATAGCGGATTCAGGGTCTTCAAGGAAAAGCACCCCTTTGGAAGGGGTTGGGAGATCATCGTTCCTCCGGCTGACGCTGTAATGGCCTGGGCGATGATATTGACCATGCAGACGATTACTTCATCTGCTACGAGGCTGTTATCGAAGCCGGCCTCCGGTTCCCCCTCCACCCCGGGATTAGGAAAATCCTTAAGGGGTACGATCTAGGGGTTTGGCAGCTCACCCCCAATTCGTGGGTGAACATTCTAAGTTACGTCGCCGCCTGTGAGTTTCAAAATTTAAACCCCAGCTTTTCCGCCTTCACTCATATGCAATACTTGAGCAAGGCTCCAAGCGACCATGGGGCTTGGTATACTCTGACTACCTTGCCCCAATACTTGATGACTTTGGACAAAGTGTCCAAATGGTCCGGGTGGAAGGACAAATTTTACTTTATTTCTTCCCCCACTTTAAGACACAACCGGACACTGCGCCGATACAACACCGAACCGGCTCTTCTAGGCCGGAAATGCCCTCTCCCGGTGCTATCTACTAAGGCCCGGGAGAAAATAATAGAGCCGGGATTCTTTGAGACAACGACTGAGCCCATGGGGGATGGGACTCACATCATAGTTCCCAAGAACTGGATCCCCCATCCGGACTTCTTCAAGGACGAGTGCTTCTTGTTCGCCTGCGGGCTGAGTACCATGTTTCCTAGGGGTAGAATACTTTTCATCCGGAATGATTGTTATTTTATTTTTATTGCAAACTTGCCATAAATTTTTTCTAACCACGAATTCTTGTTCTTGCAGACGACGCCCTGAGAATGGTAGACCCGGCGAAGACACCAGCTAAGTCTGCGGCGCTGCTGCGCAAAGAGGCGGCACTTGCCAAGAAGGCAGCCGTCAAGGCAAAAGATTCCAAGATAGGCGGGGTAAGACCGCCTGACTTTATGTGTTTGCATATTTCCTTTTTCTTTTCTTTCTTCTTATTTTTTTTTTATTTTTTTTTTACAATTTTGCCGGTTGGGTATACTTACCCTTTGTTTATTTCTCAGGAGTCCGTCAAGAAGATTCCACGATCTTTCTCCAAGCTGCTCAAAAGTCAAGGAGACGATCTGGAGAAAACTCCGGCTGCTAAAGCCGCCAGGAAGGGCCCTCCTCCTCCCCAGAAACAATCATCTGCCCAATCCGATCATCCAACGATCGGGGGCAAATCGCCTGCTGCAATGAAAATTCTGAGCGAAGGCTCGGAACGCTCGCAGCAGAAAGCGCCGGATGCCTTTACGGCATCGAAGGGTGGCGATCCACCTAATGTTGCAGCCGGTGCGGCAACGCCTGGGGAGGAGCAGAAGCCGGAGACCCATCCGGAAACCCAAGGTAAGGGACGGATTGAAATACCTTGGCCACTTAATTTTACGAGAATCAAGAC